ATAAAAACACATTTTCATGTGAATTTCACAGACAAGCGTTGATTAAAGGCACAAAATAAGTAATTTTATCGTTTTCATGACTCTTAAGCTATTGAAATTATTCAAATTGTCAAACTTTGGCAGCCATTTTCTCACTAATTTTATCATCGAAACTGGGCGCCCCCTCCTCCTTCAATCACAAATATCTTGACTTCTTTTAAAGAAAAATCGTTTTTTAAAAATCGAAAGCAACACAACTTAACAATTTTTAAGATGATACCAATAACTCCAAATAACTCAAAATTGACAAGCACCTGATTCCACCGTGTCGTGACTCGTCGTGACACATTTATTTTTCCAGAGTACATCAACCTAGTCCCTTCTTTTGTATGTTTATCACTCTCTTGTGAACTGCTATTTCAGGGGTGCTTTGATAGTCGAAGCAGACTTTGTGCTGTTGATGCTAGAGAGGTGAGCAGAGTAAGCCTGATTCCCAGTTTAGACTTCTCTGTTGACATCCAGCCCTTGGCGCTAACATGACCTTATGCAGTTGCGAGGGCCGTAAAACCGTAAAACTAACAATAAAATGTCTTGACGTTGTCCATCCATGTTGCACATTCTGCCATATACCTAGGCCAGTCCATGTTTCGACGTTGCCCACCCCTGGCCCTCTTGCTCCCACATCTTGCCTTCAAGCACTTCTTTCACAACGATCAGGTTGCTTTATAATTTTATGAGCCGAGAATTGTATTCTTTCTACTCATTATTTTGAGATAGTGGGTTTGTCTTACGTGGGGAATCTTTTGCACCTCATTGGTCGTCTTTTTTTTTTGCTTTCTAGCTTTTTCTGAGCCATTCTGTGGTAGCACCACGTCTCAAACGTAGCTATTTTGTTTTCTTCTCTCGTTGTTAAAGTCCAGGTTTCAGCGCCATATAGGAACAATGGAAATATGTTATTGTTGTGTACCAAGGGCCAACATGTTGAAGAATGTTGTGTTGCAGTCTCTTGGTCTGCCGTGCTTGCTGCATGTGTTCAAGAAATATGTCGTGGACATTCAAATTCTAAATATTGAAAAGTAAAAGAAAGAAAAAAGAATAGGAACAATTTTTGAAATAATTAGTGAAATAGTTTCTTTTCCCCCTTTCTCTTGTCAAATTATGCTGACATTTTCCCAGCTTGCCGACGCCACACAGAAACAGACGACGGTCATGCCCAGATAGCCCGGCCATTTCTCTAAGACTTGGCCTCTGTGTCTGAGAAGAAACAGCCCAAAAATGTGCGCAGGAAAATGTCCCGGAATCTCTGGTTGAAAGTGACGTAGACGAAGAAGCCCGTGGTGTAGTTGACGCTGCCCACAAAAGAGATCCAGTAGCGGTTGACCATGTGTGCCCTCGTTCTCAGACTGACGCACGACTCGGGGTCCATGATGCACAGCGTGCACAGGTAGTTGTAAGGCAGTTGGCTGATGATGAACAGCGCCATGATGATCAGTACGATCTTGGTGACCCGCCGGGAGTTCCTGTTGCTCGTGTTCTCGGCAGCCGGCTGTTGTTTCTTTCTCCAGGTCACCGCGCGTCGCATTCGAAATCCGATACAAATACTGAAACAAGCGGTGATGATATAGGGAGTGGCCTGCAGGAAGATCGGAGTAGACAAGAGGGTATGATAAAGATACCAGTCTCTGTTCTTGAGCTTGTACACAACTGAGGTGGCGCTCACATTCCAAGAACCGTTCAGAGACGAAGAAGGAATCTCACGTTTTTCAAACTCGTATCTGTCCACAACGTTGGTTGGCAGAAAGTAAAATGTGATAAACAACCACCGGCAAACGTGAACGAAGAAAGTTTTGCGCATGGTGAAGATTCTGGCCGCGGCAAACGGAAAGAAAATGTCGACGAATCTCTCAGCCGCCATGACAGGGGCGCACAGGGAGGAAAGTCCGCGCGTGATCGTTCTGGTGGGGTAGATGGCCTCGTCACGGATCTTCAGGAAGGCTCTCACGGCTGGTGAGTCGAAGTCACCTGACAGGAAGAGAGTCGGGTAGAATTAAAGTCAAGGATAATAATAATAATAATAATAATAATAATAATAATAATAATAATAATAATAATAATAATAATAATAATAATAGATAGCATTTGTATAGCGCAGATCCCCGCTCAACAGCAAGCTCTATGCGCCTCACAATCTATACTATTACCCCAGCAGACCTGAAAGCATTCTGAAACAACCTCAACTTCCTTGGAAGCATACAGTGTAAGCAGCCATTTATAGGCACCAAAACACAAACGCACAGACAAGATCTTTCGCTGTCTATGGCCGGGTACCTATACGTTCTTATACTCTGACCGTCTAGCCGGGTACTCATTCCCACCTGGGTGAATCGAGAAACATTCGTGTAAAGTGCCTTTCCCAAGGACACAACGTCGGGCTCGCGGCTCGAAACCCCGAACCCGCAACCTCACGATTACGAGTCCGGTAGCCTAACCACTAGCTCACCGACGCCACAACCTCACGATTACGAGTCCGGTAGCCTAACCACTAGCTCACCGACGCCACAACCTCACGATTACGAGTCTGGTAGCCTAACCACTAGCTCACCGATGCCATAATAACATTATCAACAACAACTTTCTCTGTTTTCGCGTAAAAGATTTAAAAAAAAATTAAAAACTTGGTCGCTTTTAAGTTCTAGCGGGCGAACCCAGATTTCGGGGGTTTCCAGAAATCTTGATCTATTTCAAAAGTGAGCATTACACTACCTAGAGGAGAAATTTGCTTTCATTGGTGTGTATATTTATTTGGTTGTAGAGAAAACTCTCCTTGTCTTTTAAAGAAACTGAACAAGGGGGAAAAACTTTACCTTCGATTTTCTCAAAACAGCAATTTTCGTGATAGCCCCCCTTGTGCTTAAAAGCGACCAATTCTAAGTGTGTTTTGACGGCCCCATCGACACATGCCGACCGACAACTTCGTCTGACTGAGACGTGGGTCAGCCTGATTTTCTTCCCTGGGAGAATAAAATCTACCATTTTATGCTTAACCAAGGAGTTTACAGTTCTAAACTCCTTGTGCGTAACTCAATCTGTGCCCCCCCCCCCCCCCCAAAACCACCTTTCCCTACTAATCACGAGCATTGCCACCGGCGTGGTTCGTGGATTCTAAGGGTTAAGGGGCAGGTTTGGAAGACTGGGCTGGAGATACAAAATTGAGTCGCGTCGCGCTTGTCAATTCTGGAACCTATTATGTGAATCGCACTGACAAAATGAGTTGTCTCTCAGATTCAAGCCCTATGGAAAACACCCTGCTTAGAGGTGAAGTTTTTAAATTTGTAAGTGTGAAATAATAATGTAAAGCATTAAAGAATATTACTTAAAGAATATGGCATCTACAGAAAACCTACTAATTTGGCGCTAGTGTCGATTTTTTGACAATATCTTGTCAGCACGCCTCACATATGGTCGCTTTTAAGGACAAGCGGGCTGACCCAGATTTCGGGGGTTTCCAGAAATCTTGACCTACACCAAAAGTGAGCATTGCACTACCTATAGGAGAAGTTTGATTTCATTGGTGTGTATATTTGTTTGGTTATAGAGAAAACTCTCCTTGTCTTTTAAAGAAACTGAACCAGGAGCAAAAACGTTACCTTCGATTTTCTCAAAACATTTTCCGGGATCGCCTCCTTGTGTTTAAAAGCGACCATATGGTCTTATTGGTATTGCTTTAAATCTTGATTGTTTGTCTTGGGTTTTGTGAAGGAATACCCATGTGTTCTGAATAGGAGTCAAGATACTTGCAGTTGAAGGAGGTTGGGGGGGGGGGAGGGGAGGGGGTCGCCTGGTGTGGGAGGTAAAGTTACCGAGACAATGGCGGCAGTGGTTTGGTGACCTCATGCCCGTGACTGTCTGCGGAAGCTGAACATTTATACAATTTGTTTCTTGTCTTTGATCACAGTTTTTTGTCAACAGAACACACAACAACAGGTTTTTATTGCACATAAAAACAATTGAGCAAAAAAAAAAAGTGTAAAAAAATGATCCAAAAGGTCGAAAAACGAAAGTTTGTAAAGTTTTTCTTGTATTTTGTTTTTAATTTGGTACGTTCCTGTTTTTCTCTCAATGCCTCGCAACTGTTATTTTAAATAGTATTCTCTGTTCAAGTTCCTCCTTTTGAGTGTTGCAAGAGTTACTTGCCGTTATAGAAGAGAACTTTGTCGAAAAGATGAAAAACAAAACAAAACAAACCATCTTTCGTCAATGCTCGACCCCTAATGTGTATTGCGTGTACGGTGATTTTTTTTAGAAAAGCGAAGCCAACCCCCCCTCCCCCCACCAATCATTTCTTTTTTATCATCTGCTAGAACTTCTCAGAACCTTGTGTAGAATGTAATTTCTACAACATTAGACTGTCACAAAGTAACTGCAGTCACAATTATGAATAACATAATATGTTAATACAAATAAGAAACTGTTTGACCAAAATGTCCATTGGGAGATCGGGTCGGGTCGGGTGAAGGTGGTTTGGTAGCCAGATTGAGAGTGAAAAGTGGCTATCGTGGCACATGCCGATCGCGCCCGACTCGTCGACTCAAAAAACAACCGGACCCGATCCCATCCGAAATGGGCACCCCGTATTAGAAACCTTGACCATCAATAATTTATCTATAGAGGCACCAGCCATCCATGTCCAGGTGCTGTTTTAGCCGTACTAGAAACCCGACAAGATCGGCGGGGAAACGAGCTGATGGACATTTACCAATAAGGCCGTCGGTGTAGACACAGAGCACGAGAGCTGAGACGAGGAACTCCGCTATCGCCATGTTGAACATGGACACATTGCTGGAATGTGTCAAGCCCTGCTTTGCCAAAACCACGATGGCGAAGAAATTGGACACAGTGCCTATGACGCCCACGGCTGGGAAGAGAATCACGCTGAACACACAGCGGATCTTTTGGAAGGTGGCTTCGTCTATGCCCGAGGAGTCCTGGCTCTGTAAGGGATGAGTCGTCGTCGTCGTCATCATCGATGTTGTCGTCATCAGTGTTGTCGTCGTTTTGGCTTCATCATCACCCAGTGCTGCCAGAAGACTGGATACGGTAGTCGAGACTCAGCCGTAGGTGCACGTGATGTTGTTGCTGTTGTTGTTGTTGTTGTTGTTGTTGTTGTTGTTGTTGTTGTTGTTGTTGTTGGCTGCGGTTGCCAGAAACTGATTCATGTGCCTGCAAATTGGGAAAAGAAAATATGTTTTGAATGGGATCAGTTAACAAAACAACAAGTCTGTCGTTAGATAGTGTAGTACATTGCCTTCAACAACTCGTGGCCCAAGAATCACAAAGTTCTGTCTGATCAGTACCTAGTTGGGAGAAATGACATGAAAAACCCCCCAAACATTGGGTTTCACAAAATGGCAAGCTTTTTCGAATGCAAGTCTTTGAATTATCATCTTAAAAACGACTCCGACCAGTCTTAAGAATCTTATAGATCAGACAGAACATTGACTTCATGATTTTAGTAACTGAAAACGGCCCAATATGTCATATGTGAGACGTGCTAAGAAAATGAGTTACTTTTTATAATATGTAGCCCTGTAGAAATAGATGTATTGAATTGATAGGCTGAGTTTTTATAATTCATTAGTTGGAAATAATAAAACACATGGTAAACCTGAAGAAAATGACAACAGTTAAAAACCTACACATTTACTCCGTCGTTGATTTTCTGCCAAAACCGGCATTTGTGAAGTGCGAGAAGTAAGTCATTTTGTCAGCACGTCCCACATATTATAAAACTTGGTAACTGTAAGGTAGAGGACTGTTGGTCGTGACACTGAGACTGATTTGATCTCTAACAATTGTGTTAAGTTTTCCTTTCCCTTGTTTTGTACCTGAGTCTGGTTGTATTCTGCACTTATATTCTTAGACATTATTTTTGGATTTTTAAAAAATGTTTGTATCAAAGACCAGTACATACACCCCAACAGGACAGTACTACTCACAGAAGTTTTCTTAAGACCATTCCCGAAGGGGGGATATAAACATGTTCTTATGCACAGTAGTATTGTAAATGGGCTGATTTATCAATGTCATGCTCATACTGTGCCGGAACAACATAGTGGGAACTGCTGCTTTTTCTTTCCTCATCCTTACTATCGTCATTTTTCCTCTACTTCTTTTGTATGTTTGTCACACTCTTGTGAACTGCTATTTCCTGGGTGCCTTGATAGTTGAAAAAGACTTTGAGCTGTTGATGCTAGAGAAATGATCAGAGTAAGCGTGATTCCTCGTTTGAACTTCTATGTTCACATCCACCCCTGGGCGATCATAAGACCATAATATGTAGTTGTGAGCGCCGTAAAACCTTACTAAATCTAAATAAAGACCAGCATAATACATGAGGTACAGCATTACGAGGTTTGTGCTTGACGGCTAAGATATAAAGTGTTATTAATTTACTCTCAGAGTTTTTTTACTTGCTTTTGTCAGCGCCTATCCGTCGACCGTTTGTCTGGTACAGCTTAAAAACACAACTAACTAACCAACCAACCAACCAACCAACCAACCAACCAACCAACCAACCAACCAACCAACCAAACAAACAAACAAAAAAGGCCCAACAAAACAGCAGGATAAGTTTTTCCCCCCAGCCGTCAAGGCAGTTGAAAAATCTTGAACTTAAAGCCCAACATTTATTACGGTCGATATACCTGTTCCGTAGAATTGTAGTATTTATTTTTGGTATGAACTCCTGTTCTCACTTGGTACCAAGTGTACTCAAAGTGGTTTACGCCAAAGCCAGACACATGTTGGTGATAATAATCAATAAATAGCATTACAATTGTTGTACAGCGCACCTATCCGCTCGCCAGCAAGTTTCCTGCGCTTTGCAGTGTGTTATACTATAATTTCTCATCACCACGGCAGACTCTAGAAGTAAAAGACTCGAAAACATTCCCAGTTTCTCCAGAAGCATGATAATGCAAACAGCTGAATTGGCCCTTCAGACACTAACAAACTGACAAGATCTTTCCCAGTTTATGACAGCCGGGTCCCCATTCCCACCTGGGTGGAGTAAAGAACATTCGTGTAAAATGCCTATTCGGATCCGTGTCGGGATTCAAACCAACGACCTTTCGGTTCATGAACCTAACTACTAAGCCACCAAAGCCACAGTACAATAACAGGAAACTAAACGTGGGAAATATCTAGCTGCAAACCTCTAACTACAGTCTATGAAATAACCTCGTGGTGCTAGTTAGCGTATTGAATTCACACACCTACAGCGTTTGAGACATATAATCTTAAGGAAGTTGCTAGGTAGCGTGTTGAATTCACACATCAACAGTGTTTGAGACATAATATAATCCTAAGGAAGTTGCTAGGCACACGGACGCTCGTGTAACACTGAATTGTTCGGGGCACGTATTTTCACAGTCAAGGTCGTTCTCCGCATACTCTCATCAGCGTGTTTGGGAAAGTTTTACAGAGAGATTGAGACTCGTGAAAATATGGATGATGATACATTAAGATCCAGACTGTCTCTAGATATCGGAAACGTTTTCACTTCTCTAAATTGAGTTAAATAAGCGAAGTTATTGAAGATGATGGTAAACAGAATTTCAGCAGTTCCGTCAAAGGAGACTCCCGTAAAGTAAGTCTAGATCTATTCTTACTCTTCGTTAGTCTTGTTACTTTGAAAATACTTGCCCCGAACAATTCAGTGTTTGGCGGGCGTACGCGTTCCTAACAACGTCCTAATCTTAACTCCTCCTTTGGTTAACGAAAAATAGACATAATAATATTTGCCTCCATATCCGAAGAGCTGATCTTGAAAGACAGGCCTTTGGGAACTGGCATCTATTTATGAAAGAAAAGCAACATAAAAAAAAACAACTGAAAAAAAAGACAACTAGTTTATGCGTTTGAAATAATCGGCCTGTTTTTTGTTAGTTAGTTAGTTTTTTTGTTGTTCTTTGTAAAAATCATGTAATGGAAATGAGAAACGTAACTGATGACAGTGCAAAAGCGGAGACGTCAGATGAACCAAGCCCAGAGTGGAAATTGGCAGGGCCATTAACATTTGTGCTAAGTAGATATTCTGTTCAAGTGCTTTCATAGTAGATCTCTCCTCTCTCTGTTGTCTCTCTCTCTCTCTCTCTCTCTCTCTCTCTCTCTCTCTCTCTCTCTCTCTCTCTCTCTCTCTCTCTTCCCCACTCTCACCCCACCTCCTTCTCTCTCTGTTTCTTTCTCTCTCTCCCTCTCTCTCTGTCTCTCTCGCTGTCTGTCTGTCTGTCTCTCTCTCTTACTCTGAGAGTATGCGGACGCTGGTGATGGTGGTGGTGGTGGTGGTGGTGGTGGTGTGTGTGTGTGTGTGTGTGTGTGTGTGTGTGTGTGTGTGTGTGTGTGTGTGTGTGTGTGTGTGTGTGCGTGCGTGTATTTGTGTGAGTTTATTTGTGTGTGTTTATTTGTGTGTAAGAGGATGTGTATGCATGGGTGATACAGGCTGGCCCAGGTTTGGGGAAGGGGGAGGGGAGGGGTGGGGTGTGGGATGAGGAGTGATGATAACGTTAATTTGAAAACCCTAGTTTGTTCCTGCACACGATATATTCTACTGACGACTGAAAAATAGAAAAGCATTAACCGTTTAGAAATCCTGAATAATTATTCTGAATCTGTCTCGTTATTCATCTTATTTTTCAATGTTCTTAGGGAGGCAATGAGAAGTAAAGGCTGCTGAGAGTATTAACCTATTATGACAGGTTACATCTTTGATAATGTTAAGCCCATTGTAAAGGTTATAAAGCATTGATTTTAATAACAGAATGATGTTATGCTATTGGCAAGAAACTATTAAAATACGTCCGTTTAACTCAATGATTAGTTTTACGTTTTCTAATCTGGAGAATGTCTTTGTTCATTATTCTGAACGTGCAAAAAGCAGGACATTCAATTAGAAATCCACACACAGACAACAATTCTATTATGACAATGTTTTTGGTCCAGTAGCTCTCTGAATTTCGAAAACGACTTGCCGTAATCTGTCAGGCAAGGGATGGTTCTATGATCTAGGCAGATGAAACGACCTTATACTCAAAACTCAACCGAAGAAGAAGAAGAAGAAGAAGAAGAAGAAGAAGAAGAAGAAGAAGAAGAAGAAGAAGAAGAAGAAGAAGAAGAAGAAGAAGAAGAAGAAGAACAACAACAACAACAACAACAACAACAACAACAACAACAACAACAACAACAACAACAACAACAACAACAACAACAAGAAAGAAGAGCTCTCTAGGCTGTCACGTCTACTGCTACTTGTTGCTAATGCGTGGTTGCCGAAACAGAACTTTTCAATTGTGTTCTTCCGACAAAAATCTCTCACCGGCGTCTTGATCGTCCTGGTGAAGTAGTCCACATGTCAGTGACTCTGAGGATTGTGCCCAGGGCTATGACTTGGTGGAATCAGGCGCTCGTCAGTTCTTGGGCATACTATGAGGTCACTGGTATCATCTTAAAGCCAGTTAATTTGCCTTTGCTTTTGGGAAAAGAATATCAATCTATGTTAAATAGAAGTCGAGATATTTGCGATTGATAGAGGTCAGGGTCATCTGGTTTCAGAGGTAAAATTACCCGAGAAAATGGCCGTCACAGCTTGGTAATTTCCATAGCTTGAGAGTCCTCGGAAACTGATAATTTACAGTTTTTGTGCCTTTAATCAAAGTTTTTCCAGTAAGATCAACACGGAATTGTTTTTTTAAAATGAACATGAAAGGTGTTGAGCCAATAAACAACAATAACAATTAGAAAAAAGGTCAAACTGGAGGAAAAATGCCGATAACTTCGGTATCATTATTTTGACGAGAGCCTGATTTCACCACGATGCCTCACTAAAATGTCTTGGCACTTGGTCTGCTTTTCAAAAGTCAATGGTTGATTTTACTGTCGGACGTGGGTAGTTGAGTGGTCGGGCCTCCACACTCGTCATCCTGGCTGAGACTTCTTGTACGAGGATTTGAGATTCAGTTCGCAT